GACAGCTCAACAATGAGCTCAACTTTACTGGAAGACAAAATAAGACACTAATCAAAGTTGAAGCAGAAAGACAAGAACAATGTGTTCCACTCAGGATAGGGGACACTCAAAGCTGGTGGGAACATAAATGAGTACAGCTACTATGGAAAATATGGAGGTTCCTCAGAAAACTAAAAATAACACTACCATATGATCCAGCTATCTACTCCTGGGTATATATCCAAAGCGAATGAAATCAGCATTCCAATGAAGTACTTCATGCCCATGTTTATTGCAGCACTCTTCACAGTAGCCAAGACAGGGAATTACCCTAGCTCCCCATCAATACATAAAAGGATAAAGAAATATGGTATATACACAATGAAATATTATTCAGCCATAAAGAACAATGAAATCCTGTCATTTTTAGCAAAATGGATGAAACTGGAGGATATTATATGAAATTAGCCAGATACAGAAAGAGAAGTACTGCATGTTCTCTCTCATATGTAGAAACTAAAAATGTCAATTTGAATGTAGAATAGTGATTACTAGAGGTTGGGGAGGATGGGAGGGTGAGAGGAAGGTGGAAGAAGGGTGGGTGGATATGATCAGTTTATGCTGTATGTATATATGGAAACATCACACTGAATTTCATGAATATGTACAATTAATATGTGTTAACAAAATATTTCTCTGAGGAAAGGCATCTGATTTCAATCCTTATACAGTGAGTAGGCTTTTGCTAGGTAGAAGATTGAGGGCAAGTGTCTAGGCTGAGGAAGAGGCCTAAAGCACAGACTTAAAAGTATGAGTGGAGCCGGGCACGGTGGTGCACACCTGTAATCCCACCGGCTAGTGAGGCTGAGGCAGGAGGATCACGAGTTCAAAGGCAGCTTCAGCAAAAGCAAAGCACTAAGCAACTCAGTGAGACCCTGTCTCTAAATAAAATACAAAATAGGGCTGAGGATATGGCTCAGTGGGCGAGTGCCCATGAGTTCAATCCCTGGTACCAAAAAAAAAAGTGTGAGTTATGCTTGTGGCTGGCAGCAGACAGTGAAAGGAGACAGAGCCGTGGCTGACAGAGGAGCCAATATGGAATGACGGCCATATTTGTTTTCCCCACTGCAGCATGTTGCAGGGAACATACATGGACTTTGCAGTCAGGCAGCCCTGGGGTTTGAGTTTCACTCTGCCATTTCCTAAATTTATAACCTTAGCCAAGCCTCCTAACCTTCTCGAGTCCTAGTGTCATTATTTATGAACTACTGTTAAGAAAGTTGCATGAGCCAGGCATAGTGGCCCATGCCTGTAATCCCATCATGGCTCAGGAGGCTGAGACAGGAGAATTCCAAGTTCAAAGCCAGCCTCAGCAATTTAGCAAGGCCCTAAGCAACTAAGTGAGACCCTGCCTCAAAATATTAAAAAAGGCTGTGGATGGGGATTGGCTCAGTGGCTAAGCACCTCTGAATCATATAAAACTGGGGAGCCAGGTGCAGTGACACACACCTGTAATCCCAGTGGCCTGGGAGGCTGAAGCAGGAGGATTGCAAGTTCAAAGCCAGCCTCAGCTTCTCAGCAAGGCCCTTAGCAACTCAGTGAGACTCTGTCTCTAGATAAAATTTTAAAAATGGCTGAGGATGTGGTTCAGTGGTTAAGCGCCCCTGGCTTCAATCCCCAGTACCAGACAACAACAACAAAAACATCTGAGGATATAAGTTGCTCCATAACTGATGTTAGTAGTCTCATTTTTTTAAAAATTAGATAATATCAAAAAGGTAAGATTACAACTAAATGATTCCAAAGGCTGCCATTGGTGGTATGCAGGGGTCATCTGCAAATGTTTTTTTCCCCCACAATACTGGGGATCAACCCAGGGCCTTAGACATGCTAGGCAAGTGCTCTACCAGCTCTGCAGAATGCATTTTAAATTGCTTGTTTGGAAGACAGTAGAGTTTTCATGGGCTTTGGACCCTGCCAGCCCTGGGCTAGAGTCCAGTAGCTCTACTTTCAAGTTGTGTGGCCTAAAACAAGTTACTTAACCTCCCTGAAAATCAGTTTCCCACTCTACAAAATGGGATCACAATACCTGTCTCAAAAACGTTGCTGAGAAACTTAAATGAAATAACAGATGAAAAGTTCCTGGCAAGGAGGAGGCAGGCAGCCAAAAGTTGCTATTATTGTATCATCTGAGAGCTTTATCTCCTAACCTTCAAGCTTTTAAAAGGCTTATTTGTTGAAACTGGAAAATGTGGTCTCATTAGAACCATCATTTGTAACACACTCCCACATATGAGGCCAGAGATAAGGAATCTTTGTATCCAATTGGAGTGGACTTGCAAATTTGCAATGTTGCTCCCAAGGCTGCTCAAAGAGACCCTTACTTTGCTCTAATGGCCCAATCCTATACCTTTACACAATTCATTTGCCTTTAGTATTTTTGTCAGAACACTGAGATATATTCTTGGTCCTATCTGTTTCCACCCTCACCAGGTCCAACGGCATATACACAATTTAGAGATAAGGCCAATAAAAACATAGAATATGAGTCTGCTGAGAGGCCAGGGTCAAACATCATAGCACTGGGAGCAGAAGCAAGAGTCTGAAGGATACCCATTTGCTACTGCCAGCCTCACCCCTGCCTGTGCAAGATGCACAATCCATCTTCTTTGTGCCTCTAGCACTTTCCACCTTCTACCACCACTAAAACACTGTTCCATCCCCAAGAGGAAGGCCACAATTCTGGAATGGAAGGTGCTTCCCCCCTCCAAATCTGGATTGGTTATTCCAAGAAATTCCAGATAACAAGGTTATAAATAAGAGGGCAGAAAGAAACAGGTGAAGTACCTCAATAGGTTGAAGCAGAACCAAACAGGGTTGAACACCATCAAACTGCTCATTTATTTCCAAGCATCAGGAATCAAGAACAAGTCCCATCAAGGCCTCCTGGTCACAGGCTACATAAGGGAAGTAATACCTGCTCTCTAAGAACCAGAAGTCAAAGAAAATGGAGCAGGTTTTCTACCCACTGGCTTCATGGCCCATTCACTCTGGACAGCCCTGCATGCCGTTTCCATGGAGCTGCTCCTTCTCTGGGGCCAGTGATGCCAAAGCCAGCAAAGGAGAAGTCTCCTGAAGAGCTCACAGAAGGGCAACCTAGCAACCTATCCTTGAGCCAGGAAATGAAAGAGCTATATCAGCGGCACAGAGCTGTGGTGTGGGGGTGAGGTCAAATAGTGTTTCATTTCTCACACTTCTTCCTCAAGCAGGAGTTGAAGGAGGAAGATGTCATGAAGAAAGACTGTTGCAGAGTGGTTCTTAACTGTTTTGGGGCCATGGATCCATTCAAACATTGACAAAGCTGTAGACTTAGAAAAACACACAGAGTTCAAATTCTTTGCATACAATTTCAGGAAGGACCCTAGGAAGGAACCTTTGCCCGGGAGTAACATTTCATGACAGGTATGCTCTGGACAAATATACTGATGACAGGCCCATTTACTTACAACCTACGGCATGGTGTGGCACTTAGAACAGTGGTCTACACCTCAGAATCAACTACAGCAATGGTTAAAAATACAGATCACACTGCTTACTTCTAGTCCTTGACAAAAACCCCCAGACATGGCCCAGGAATCTGCATCTTGCAAAGGTCTCCAAGATGACTCTGAGGCAGCCAGCCTGGTTACCCACATTTTGGTTAATAGCATGAATTCTGTATTCAGAGACTCATTCAAAATTTTGACTTCACCTGATAATTTTAGGCAAGTTATTTCATCTCTCTGAGCCTTGTCTCCTTTGGGGGTCATAATGGGCTATAGAAATAATGTTATTTGTATAAACTGGCCAGCTTGTTGTGGGGTAAAATCTAGTGTAAAAAAAAGGAAAAGAAAAGTGCATCAGTTTCCTCTTCTGTACAATGGGTACCATAAAGATTGCCTTCCTCTTCTTTTGTTTTCCCCATTCCCACCTCACCCCATCCCTCAGCACCACCATCACACCAAGGTTGCTGTTGAAATGGTTTGAGACTACTTACATAAAATGCTCTCCAGGCAGCACAGCAGGGCAAAAACCTGGCATCAACAGAACAACGGACTGGGGTGCAAAATCGGACACTGCTACTTATTTGCTGCAGGATACAGGGCAAGACGCTTAAGCTCCTTTTGGTTCAATTTCCTCATCTGTAAAACGGAGATAACAGTCTTTGCTCGCTAATTCTATACAGCCCAAATTGGTCCTCTCGTGCCCACTTAGGCTTTTCACAACTAACCCTTAATATGATGGCAGAAAGGAGTGTTTACAAAGAACTGCCTTTGAAGTCAGATATGACGACTTGAGTGTCAGCTTTAGCTCTGCACTTCTAACCGTACTGCCTGGGTGTTTATGTCGCCCTCTCTGTTAAATGGGCACACTGCTACCGCCTTCTCAAGGAGACTGTGAAGAATAAATGAGATGCCCGTGTGAGCGCACTTGGACATGGAAAGCGGAAAAAGTAGATGCTTCCCACCCACCCCCTTCCCTCTATACAAAGGTGAGGAACTCTCATTGTTCACTTGCTTTCTGTCCCACCTCGTGTTTAAAGCATCCAGTCTCAAAGAGCAGAGGACAGCCGAGGCGGAAGGGGATTGGAAGAAGGGAAGTGAGAGGAAGTAGCAAACTCACGAGTGAAATGTAAATGGGCCCGGTCCGTGGGTCCGAGCTGCACTTGACGCCGCGCTGGCTCCCACGCCTGTCTGCCGCAGCCCCCGCCAGCCTGCTCCCCCCCTTGCTAGCTTGAGCATCAGGGCCCTTGGCTGTGCGGGGAGGCGGCCCCCGCGCCCCGCTGATTGGCCACGCCGCCCCTCGTCACACTCTTTTGTCTCAATGGGCAGAGGCTAAAAGCAGCCGCCGCTGCTGGGCAGGCAGGCCGAGCCGGAGGGCGGGGGCAGCCGCGGCTGCCTTGGAAACCGCGCTGCCTAGACTCAGCAGCCCCTCTCTGGGCAGCCTTGCTGAGGTGCTGGCAGAGTCTGGCAGCCCGCGTTCGTTAGCAGCCGAGAAGGCGCCATCCTTTTCCCCTGCAGGGCCACAGAGACTGGAAGGTGAAACCGAACTGTAGGCGACGCCAGAGCATCCGTTGCCCACCTGCGGAGCCAAGGTAAAGGAGGGCGGGGGGATGCGGAATTCGCATGACGCAGAGAATAGAGAGTGAAGGCCCACCGGTTCTGAGCCGGGCGGCTACCGGCTTAGGAGAATCAGTATCTGCAAAGCAGGGGAAGGCGCACTCCCGTGACCTGGCTGCACTGAGGAAGGAGGTGGGGTTCACCTGGATGCGACTGGGTAAGATTTGCCAGGGCTGGGGAGGGGGTATTTTTAGGGAGGTGGCAAGGGGCATGAAAGAGGATTCTCAAGCTGTCTTTGAATCCCTTTGCATCTCATCTCTTCCTGAAATGAAATACGGAGGTGTGGGGATATCTAACTCCTATTCCCTTTCTCCTTAGCGGTCCATCAAAGCCAATTTTGAACTTGAATTCTGTGCGTCTGATTGCAGAACTGGTAGGCTTATGGTTTCCCGGGGGGGCGGGGGTATAATGGGGGTGGGGGTATTCAAAAGATAGGAGAAGGAATTTTCTGCCTGGTGATAGTGGAGGTGGGGGCGGGTAGCAGCATGACGGGTGAGGCTGCTTCTGACGTCTTTGACCCTTCCAATCCCTTCGCAGTGGCGCAGTCTCCAAGCTCAGAGCACCCGGATCTGCGACCCCCTGTGGACAAAGATCGGCCATACTAGGGAGACAAGCTCTCTCATTGAAGACACCTGTTGCAGAGGCCGGACATGAAATAAAGGCAAGCACTAATTTCCCAGCACGCGTAAGAATCCAAAACAGGGTAGACTTTGAGAAAGGGGTGTGATTGAGATCTAAGACCATCAGATCAATGGATATTTTACTTATTATCATAAATCTGTGAGACTTACACCGTTGCACTCTATTTTTGAGAGCTCAACATTGGATTCAAAGGTTTTTACCTACAATTCTAAGCAACAGTTCCTGCCGGTCCTGGAGGACAGGTGGGAAGGGATATAGATAATGACTGAAAAAAAGTCTAGCGCAGGGACACCTTGTTATTTTGTTATTTTGAATCTCCTGAAGGATATTTTTTAGGGCAATGGGCAGATAAAACCTACTGCAGGGTATTCAAGAGCTTAAAGAATGCTACAGCAGACTGGGATCCCTGCAACTTTATTGACTTTTTTTTTTCTCTCCCTCTTACAGTCCCTACAAGGCACGGTCCAGGAAACTTGCTCTGGGTATTCCTGCAAATTAGGCTTTTTGAAAAGCCTGAGCATCTTGCACTAAGATACCCTATCGCCTTGAGTCATGGCTAACATCATTACACATGTGGGTAACAGCCGGCGGCAGAATGCGCCTTTACCTCCTTGGGCCCATTCCATGTTGAGGTCTCTGGGGCAGAGTCTCGGTCCTTTAATGATCAGCATGGCAGAAAGAAACATGAAGTTGTTCTCGGGGAGGGTGGTGCCAGCCCAGGGGGAAGAAACCTTTGAAAACTGGCTGACCCAAGTCAATGGGGTCCTGCCAGATTGGAATATGTCAGAAGAACAAAAGCTCAACCGCCTGATGAAAACCCTTAGGGGCCCTGCCCGGGAGGTCATGCGTTTGCTCCAGGCTGCCAACCCCAACTTGAATGTGTCGGATTTTTTGCGAGCAATGAAACTGGTGTTTGGGGAGTCTCAGAGCAATGTGACCGCCCATGGTAATTTTTTTAACACCCTGCAGGCGGAAGGGGAGAAAGCCTCCCTTTATGTGATCCGTCTGGAGGTGCAGCTCCAGAATGCTATTCAGGCAGGCATCCTAGCTGAGAAAGATGCAAACCAGACTCGACTGCGCCAGCTCCTGGCAGGGGCTGAGCTGAATAGAGACCTGCGCTTCAGGCTTAAGGGTCTTCTCAGGATGTATGCAAATGAGCAGGAGCATCTTCCCAATTTCCTGGAGTTAATCAGGATGATAAGGGAGGAAGAAGATTGGGATGACGCTTTTATTAAACGGAAGCGACCCAAAAGATCTGAGCCAGTAATGGAGAGGGCAGCTAGCCCTGTGGCATTTCAGGGCCCTCAGCCAATAGAGATCAGTAATGCAGACTACAATGGCAACGTGATAGAGATAGATGATACCCTTGATGACTCAGATGAGGATGTGATCCTGGTGGAGTCTGGGGACCCTCCACTGTCATCCTCAGGCACCCCTCCCAGAGGCAGGGCCAGATCTCAGGACCAAGTTGTGGTCATTGATCCCCCCAGTAATTATGGGCCTGAATCTCCTTCTACCAGTGGCCATTCTGGGAATAAGAATGATGGTCCTGGGGATATTCGTAGAATCAGGAAGCGCAAGTACATAATTCGCTGCTCCTATTGTGGTAAGGAGGGCCATTCAAAAGAAACCTGTGTCAATGAAAGCAACAAGGCCCAGGTTTTTGAGAATCTGATCATCACTCTGCAGGAGCTAACACATACAGAGGAGAGGGCAAGGGAGGTCTTTCCAGAACACAAGGATCCTTCTGAGCCACAGTATGGTGCTAGACCCAGCCCTAAATGAACCCTTAACTGTATTCAGAGTCTGATGCTTGGGAAACTGCAGGTGGGGTGGGGGTGGGGTGCTTCTACCTGCATGAATTAATCCACAATGAAGTTTTCCTTTGGGAATAAAATGAGATTGTGAATACCAGTGCAGTGGAGAAGGATGCCCTGACCTCTGTCCTTGCTCCCTCTTCAGCCCGCTTAAGGGCCTATTCTCTCTGTGTGTCTTTCTTTGAAGATTTTATTCTGTTTATGGAGAGTATCTTAAACCTTTCAAAAATAAAGAAAAATACAAGAATGAAAGTACAAATTACCTGGAAATCTCACCCCTGTTATAACCATTGTCAGCCCTTTGATGAATGTCTTTCTGGATATTTGCCTGTACCTGTGTGCCCAAATAGATATATGTATAGATGAAAGTGATCGAATGTAAGTGCTGTTCTATACTGTGTATTTTTTCACCAAAAATATATCTTGTGGACTTCTATGTAAGCGAATATGTGTGTGTGTGTGTATGTATATATATATATATATATATATATA